TATAGATACTGTTTCCTGTACCCTTTAAAAAAATCATTCCCCAAAATTTTTATGGTCCGTTTTTCCCCCCATACCATAGTTAGCAAAATTTTTCCAGACATGTGGCACCCAATTCTGAAAGCTGGGAAATCCAAGATTCCCAAACCTCAAGGTAACACTTACGTTCTTTTTTGCCCGGGGCGGAGACGATACCCACAATGTGGCTCTTTAACTTTTGACAGCCCAGAATCCCCTCCTCATTTATTAGCAGGACTCGGTTACAAGTTCGAAAGGTGATCCCTACACCACAACATGTAGAAATTGCGGCGATTTGGCCCTCCGCGAAATATTTCAGACCGCCGAATGCCCATCTGTGGTTTCCGGCCATTTTAATACGTCTTGCAAACGATTCCCCCCTTGCCTTAAATGTCATGGGCTACCCTTTGTACTCTCGCCGTTGTCAGGGCATTTAAACGGCGGAAATCCGTTACCCAAAGAGACAGAAGGGTCCCCTTATGCCATGGGGAGTTTTTATCTCCGCCTCCAAAAGGGGAAATCCCACTGTTTTTTATTCCCGTGTTTCAAAACGTCCCCCCACTTTTGGTTTTTCCCCATCTTCTACACCCACCCTGTGGTTACCCCTTTCCCCTAATCCTCCTGTACTAATCTTTTGCTGTCCTCGGCTCAGACGTCCCCCACTTCAACGCCTCATCTAATTCCCTTCTTCATTCTTCTTTTTTCAAGCCCGTATCGACAGACCCGTACACACCCCTTCCCAATCGCCCTTATTCCAAAAAATCAAAAAAGGTCCGTAACCCCCTACCCATCTTCCACCTCCCCATTTTTAACCCTCCCTGTCTCTGTCCCTAGTTTTCCCCCCCTACTGGCTCAGTTACAAATGCCGGGTTCCCACCCCCTCCTCGTAATGTACCTTCCTCCCCCGTTCCCCCCAAAGTTTCTTCTCTTCTGCTACCCCCCCCGGTTTTCCCGTCTTTCGTCCCCTGCCACGCTTCTCCAGTTCCCTCCCCCCTTTTTCGCCCCCCCCACCCTTGTACAGTCCAATACAGTTCCAATCTTTTACTCATCCCCCCCCCTACCATTCCCAAATTGTCTCCCCTACAACATCTCTGAATTCTGAAACACTTAAGCAATCTCTGAATATATTGCAGAACCAAAACCCTCAATGGCACTGTCCCCTTGCTCTTTCTCTCTCCCTGTCCACGCGCAATCCTTTCTTCACGCGCACCCTTCCTTCGCTGCTTAAAATTTTTTCCACTGCCTCCGCATTGGACTTTTCTAAACCCCCCTAGTCCGTAGGAACCTTACCTGCGGGTTTTAAGTATCTTTATCTTGCCATTCATGGCCTTTTTCAGTGGAATATACGTGGGCCCCGGGGGAATCGGTGACTTCAGATGTTACTCTCCCCTTTGCCCCTGTTTGGTGTTTGCTTACAGGAACCAAAATTCATCGCTGTTATTTCTCCATCTCAGCTATAATTTATTTTATTCTTTAAAACCTTTTTCCCGATGGGACCTTTAAAAAAAAAAAAAAAATCCCTTCTTCTCCCCACTGATATTCCGTACCCTCAGCATTTGTTTAAATTTTCGCATAACACGCACCGTATCCATTCTAGGGGTATACGCTCTGTTCTTTTTTATATCCTTTCCTTTTTGGGGATATCTATTCCGGATTTTCCCCTTTCCCGTTTCTCATTACCGCCCATTCTGTTACTGGGGATTTAATGCCCACCTTTTCCTCTGGGGAGGGTCCCCTGTGATCCCCGGGAATCATTTTGAGGCTTTTTTGCCACCCACCCCCCCCAGTTTTAAATACAGGTACTCACCCATTTTGACCTCGAAACCCTACTCTCTCTTGCATCGATCTCTCATTTGCTCTTTCCCCCGCCCCCATTAGACTTATTGGTCTGTTTTTCCCCGGGCTTACATGACAGGTCATTTCCCAATCATTCTTTCTTCCCCCTTTATATTGCCACCTTTCGCACCCCACCTGGCAAATTTAATCGGGCAAATTGGAACCTTTATCAAACTGACTGTTTTTTAAAGAGGTTCCTCTTCGTCCTCCATCGATGAGCTTTACCCCTTCTCCCCCGTTTTACCCCAGCTTTCATTCTATACCCCCAAAATTCGAGAGGGATTCTCAGAAATGCGTGCCTTTGGGGCTCCCTTTGTGTGCGTACGTTTGAAACGCGCTCATGGGGGGGGACCGGACAAAGAACCCCCAGAGCGACCCTTATTTTAAAAAAGAACGTGCGATCGCTGCCGTGTCATCCCTGCGCAAAAAGCACTTGGGCGAGATTATGTCTCCACCATCACCTTTTCCTTATGGTCGTCTGGGAAAAAATAGAAAACTGAGTGGTAAAAATTCTCCTGACCCGGGTCCTTTTTTCTGCGGGTTGCCGGTGTTTATAAGCAAACCCCCTAATTTGCCAATAAATTTGGCAATCACTGGGCCGTATTTTTTCAGGGACTCCTCTTCCCCCCATTTCTTTCCTAAAGTCTGCCAAGAGTTAGCACCCTTGGACTTTTTTTCCTCAGAGAAGAACATATTTGCCTTTTACACTTTAAAAACTGGAGGCAACACTCCAGCTTGTCGATCTCGGGCTGGCCCGCGACATTCATATTTGTAATGCTACAACATTTACTCATCACCCCTTTCAGTCCTATTACCCTTTACAATCTTTTTTGGCAAAGGAGTTTTCCCACTGTGGAAACCGCCTTGTTCTCCTTTCCGCAAACCAGGCAACGGACTGAAACCCCCCCATATCGTCCCATTGCCTTCCATGCATTTGCAAAGTAAAGGGAAAGTCTAGTAAATAACGTTTTTTGTGGTATTTAGAGACACAAACATCTCCCACCGCAATATGGTTTGTAAGGGACTTCTACCTAGACCCCTTTCTGCGCTTATAGTATGTTTGTAATGCCTTTGCGAATAACCACTCTTTTGCCATATTTTTTTTATCTTAGAAGGGATATGACACAACTTGGAGGATAATTTTTACCCCCAAACCCACTCCTTAGGCCCTTGAGGCAATCTACCACCTTCCCTTTAAAAACTTTTTAACTGACGGATTTCCGTGTTCGGGTTAATAATGGCCTCCCCGGGCTTTATCAAGCTGAAGGTGCCCCCCCGGGATGTGTTTTTAGACAAACTTTTTTCCTTGTATTAAAGATTTGCCCTTTTTTCCACAAATATTTGTCATCACTCTATTTGATGACTTCGCTATTGCCGTGCAGGGGCTGACTGTACCTCCTTTCAGTTTCTCCCAGCATGCGTCGACCCTGTTTCCAATTGGGCCCCCAATGGTTTAAAAATTTTCCCACTAAAAACCCACCAAATCAAATTTCACTAGACCTCTTCATCCTGACATCCTTTGACCTCTTTTGGGTCCATCCCTGACGGAACAGTCAAGTTTTTTTGGCCCCTCTTTGATCGTGGGTTTTCCTAAACCTCACATTTACCTCTCTAAAGGGAAAATTGTCACAGCCCGGGTGAACCTTCTTAAAAAACCCCTTTCTCATCTTTTGTGGGAGCTGATGCGAACCCTCCCTTTACCTACTTTTTACCATTTTTAGAAAATTGATTTTTGGTGCCAGATCTTCAGCGGGATCTCCTGTACCCCTCTAGCCCTTTAACCCCCTTCACACCAAGGATTAGTTTATGCCCCTTGGGCTTTTTGCTCTTCCCCTGTCGAAAGCCTTATGAAAGCGAACGTTCCATCCTTACCCCTCGCCGTGATGCCCTTTCCCGCCTACTAAGTCGCTCTCATACTCCCAATCCTTCCATTTATAGAATGGTCATGAATTTGTAAAATTTTTTTTTGTTCGCCGCCCCCGCTTACTCCCCCCCTTCTCTCTTCGCCTTCATTCGCTTTGCTTCTCTTAACACCACCCTTCTATGTACATGTGCTCACATTTTCCCTCCCCCCTGGGAAGTCAGCGTTCGAGTTGTTTTTTCCCCCTCCCTTGCTCGAAAGCCCAATGTTAGGTGCTTTCCCCCTCTCTTTTTCTTTACCACTTTCACTCTCATTTCATGCCATTTCTGTGTACACAGATGGCTCTAATCTTTTGACGGCGTAGGATTCGCAGCAGTGTTTCCGGCGGCGTACAAGGGGATTTTCATCTTCACAGTATTTTTTTCTGCTGAATTAAAAATTTCATCCTTACACCTTATCCGTATTGCACTATGCCGGGTTTATCATTTGTGGTTGTTCAGACTCCTTAGTGCTTTAAAGGGTATAAAAAATTTTATACACCCCCCCCTTAATCCCCGTATCCAACTTTGGGTACGCCCATCTTTAAAGCTAAAGAATTGTTTTTGTTGGGGCCCCCGGTCATGTGACGACAGGGCAATGAACAGGGGACACTGCTGCGGGTCAGCTACATACCTCCCGTTTCTTATAGAGGGATTCCTGTACGGACATTTTTGCTGTAATATCTTCCCACCTTCACACTTTTCAACAAAGTTTTGGCTACAGCCGGCAACAAACTTCAGTCATAAACCCAGTTAGGTTACGGGGCCCTCTTTTTATCACCAGGTCGAGGTTTGGGGGAAATACTTCCCCCCTTTCGCATTGGCCATACTCTCTTACCTGGTACTCAGGAGAGGCGTCTTGCTCCCCTCTGTGAAATTCCAAACTCCATTATCATCGCCACATTCTGTTTGGGCTGCCCACTTTATCAACGGACCCGAATTTACTTGTGTCGCTTCGCCCCGCTGCTCTCTCTTTACCTTCCCCTTTTCCCCTGATGGACCCCCCTTTACCGGACTCTCTCATTTATTTTGACAACGACTGCTTACCCCAAATTTTGATCGTCACCCTTTCTACTTGGATCTCTTGCACCCCACCCCCGTACTACCCGCCCCCTGTTTTCTGAACCTGGATCATCCCCCCCCCTTTTGCCCTCCAATTCCCCTTTCTTTCCCTTTCCCCACCCCCGCACGCTGTATAGCCCTTTGGCTTACGCTTCTTTTGATTATAATAATAATAATAATAATGGGATCTTGCGATTGAGAGAGGAGTATTTTCACTAATTAGCTACACAACATCTAGTACCATAAAAGTGAATATAGTCTGGGAAAGGGGATCTACACTCCGCTGAGGAACTTAACCAGTCTCGAGAATTGTTTAAGAGTTATTAGAGGCACTTTCTTGGTTAGGTCATAAGATCGATGGCAAGAATGGGGAAGGGAAAGAATTGGGGTGGAACAGAGCAGTGAAATAGGTTGTGGGTAGACAGGAGAGAGAGGTAAGAAAGGTTAAGTGGCATGACCACTTTCGGTGGGTTTTAACGAAGTTTCTGTCACATAGTGACTAGTGGTAGGCACTTTTCCTTCTGCTTAATCGTTGCACTTAACATCTGGCTTCATCTAGAGTCCGAGACACATTCAAGTGTGTTTCTACGAGACTTAGATTTTATTGTGAACCCACATACAGGAGGAATCACAGAAGAGTTCGCACGCAGTCTAGTGTTCCTTGTTGTGACCACGATTACAGCGACGCATTTTCCCTTCAGTAGTCACACATCTTCAACGGGTTTCTCTACCCACACACAACGATGGCCTCTACAAGGCGTGTTAACACGACCTCGAGGAACTTTTCTTTGTCTACAGGAAGAACCACTTAAAGCAGACCTCATAATTCATCAGGTGCCTTGTCCCTGCCGGCGTACTGAGCAAACACCTGAAGGCTCATCTTGCAGGTGGAGAGGATGATGATGGACATGACGGTGCACAACACGCCTACCTGCAACACATTAATACTCAAAATTAAAGGCAAATGCAGAGTTGCATAAAAGGTTACTGAAGCCCTTCTATATTAAGATTTGTTGAAAATGGTATAAAATACTGAAGAGTTAATGAGTAAGACATGTACAACAGTTGGGTATCTTTGTTGTTGAAGAAGCCTACGCGGTAGGCTTCTTCAGTTAAATACAGAATGGACTGACGGCAAAATTTTAATCATTTGTTACTGGAGAGGGAGGAAATGCTTTTCACGGCAGTGGGGGAAAAAAATGAGGCCATTACACCAGGTTGGGACAACTCTCCCGCCTCATTTGCTTATTTTATTAGTGTTTCTTATTATATTTGCGCTATTGGTGCTCTTCCTACACTGACAGAAATCTGTGGTTTTGGACAGTCTCAAGCTGGACAGGGGCCCCATGGAAGCTGTGAACTGCCAACTGACCTGGAACGAGTTGCATCTGTCTGCTGATTGAGAATATCTGTGGCGTCCTCAGTGCAGTTTGCTTCCACAAGCTTTGTGCGAAGGCAGATCACTTGGTTAGGCTGAATGGTATATTCAAGGACATTTTCATTAGGCGCCTTCATACCATCCGGTTTCTCAGGTAATCTCAGAGTAAGAGGATGTTTAGGGTGAGGATTAGTTTGTTGTACTCGCATGAGTTTTCCCAGAAGATGTATGTTGCAGATTCGCCGGTATAATCGCCCAGCCCGGGCCTTTTCCAAGTGGTGGCCCAACTTTGGCTCCCTTTTCATGGGAGTGTCTCAGACCAATGTCTGCCATGGGAGGAGATATAAGTACCTCCTCATCGTCTGGGGGCCAGCTGTCCCCAGGCCTAGTCCCATTCCCCGCCCCCACGAGGCTCGGAGGGACAAGCGAGGCACCTTGGACTGTCACAAACCCCGCCTACACAGGGCTCGAAGGGTGTGGCAGCGGCATAGCAGCAAATGCAGCAAGCACTATGGAATCCTTTTAGAGCCACACCTCGGCTTTGGGCAGAAGCCCGAGTGCTGGGGAAGTTCAAGAATGCCTCTTGCTGTGTGTGTGTTGCTGCTCCTACTATTTCACTTGTCCGTTGCACACTTTCGTCCCAGGAAGAGGATCAAAGTCCAGTAGGCTAGAATATTAGGATCATATGCTTTATTATGATTATTATCTGTGTCTTAGGCGGCAGTTAACTCTCGAGGTATCCTGTCACTGGCTACAGGTGGTAATGTTGGACTATTGTGATATTCCTTGCTACCATCATGTACCATTTTTTATATTCCCAGAAGATGATGCTTTTTATTTTTTTTTACCAGCTCTCGAATGAGGTAGCCTCCATATGGGCTGCTCCATGGCCCTTCCCTATGAACAGAAAGTGATGTGCCAGGGGATATCTAGTATACACACAGAAGGCGTGTATACTAGATATACTGAAGTTGCTATCACTCGGTGCCTGCGGAATGGATCGGTGGTTCATGCTCAATCTGTATGCACCATGTGCCTTTCCAGCTCTGTTATGGCTTCCAAGGTTTGCCCTTCCTTTGCTGCTCTTGCTGAATTCTGTCCACTTTGAGATTAGAATTTTCACTAGGGTATATTGAACGTCTTCTTGAGAACCGTGGAACCTTTCTTGTATGGTACATCACCTTACATTTATGATGGAGGAGAGGTGCCTCCCACCAACGGATGCGGTGACTGAAGTTCCCAGTAGCATTCTCTTTACAATATAAATGTTGATGTTACCCTCATTTCATTAAAATTTGCTAAGATTTATGGACTATGACTTGAAACAGGTTAGGCATTTTGTTTGTGGAATGCGAATAAACGATTTTGAATCTTTTTTTATTAATCATAGTGGCAAATTGGCAATATTGGCAGCTCTCTGTTCGAAATGCTGGAAAACCAAATGGTCCTGGTGCTTTTTAAAACATACAAATCAAGTAAGTTAAGTCTTCAGGCGAGTTTTTCCTGAATTGCCGTGAGGAGCTGGGTTTGTCCTTTCTCTCAGGTTAGGCATAAGCCTGTCAATCGCACATATACTATGATCTTTTCGGGTAGTGAACACTCAAATGTAGTCTTGCCTTCATGCTTTTATTTTGATATAGATGTATGCTGCATGGCTAGGGTTCGGTTAGTCCCCCACCCTTCTTGGCTACTACCAGAGTTTTTTTAGGCAGTGGATGGGGATCTCTAAGGGCTTGGCTCTGGTGGTGACCCGGCTAACTTCCTTAAACATAATTTGCTTCATGCTTTGAATATAAATCCTCACAGACAATTTGAAGAGCCAAATTAGTAATGGTTTTCAAATGATCTCTGTGAGGACTTGCATTGTGGTTGGTTAACAAGTGAGTCCTGTGTTTACAGCAGAGCGCCATGTCATCACTGCTGCTTAGTAATGATTGCCAGCTTTTGTTTGGGGGGGGATGGGGAGTTCACTGTCTACTTTGTTGACTTTTGGAGTTTTTAGCCTATATCTGCGCCCAGCACAAGGATGATTCGTTTTTATTATAAGCTATAAAAAGTGTGAGTACTTGACGAAAACTAATTAATTAAAGTAAAAAGATAAATACATAAATAAGGCTTCGAACATGCCATTTTCAAATTGTGGAATGTTTATGTAAACGTGGTTCAATCTTACCTTAATCATCTGGAACTTGTAGATCTTGGAGTGAACCTTGAACACATCAGTCGAATTCTCAGTACCCATATCTGTTATTGTATCGTTCCAGCTGTAATAATCTTCAGTGGTATCACTCGTTGTATCGCTATATGAAGCGTCTGTGTTGACTCCATAAATATCATTATGGTATTTGTGTATGTCGTTATGTGATCCTGTTGAGGTGGTGAGGTTAGAGGTGTTTGTCTTGTTTTTCGCGCCGGTTTCATTTTTGGCGACAGTAACAACGTCCGATACATTCTTATTAACGAGAATTCTGTTCTGAAGCACACTGATGGAATTTTGATTTAAGATTTTTAAACGTTCTTCTTTAGTTTTCGTTTTTGGTGTGATTGTGAGGTTGTCTATTGTTGGAAGAAGCAGTTTAGTGTTGCTGGATGGTGTGACGTGTGTGTGTGAGAACATGTGAGCAACAGAGGCTGGTACACCTTGTATTATAGGCGAAGGTGACACAACTGGTGGTGGGAGGGTCGACCATATGGCAGCCAGGGGCGCCACCATCAGGTATGAAATGTATGAACTGCTACAACTCCACATTCTGAAAATAAAAGTTTTATGAAATAGAACTTAAAAAAGATGTAATGGGCATTATTATATTAAGAAATATATGTAATAAAAAAAAGCACTAGGACGAATGAAAAGTTGGAGTTTATATCCTCTTAATAGACGACTGGCTCACACGGAGACATGTACAGAAAGGCTGAAAAGTAGAGTGTCCACGACCACTTGTGGACAGGCAGCCCCTCTCATCAGTACTAACACGTGACCTTACGGCAGTGGTTCCCAAACTTTTTCAGCTTGTTACCCAATTTAACATGCCACATAAAGCATGTTACCCCTTTCACAAAATGTTGTTATTATTGATATATATGGCTAAACGTGAACGTATACAGCCTCGCATACTCTGCTAATCCTAGCAAAACCATTGAAAACGTAAGAACCACACATACATTATATATAAAATGAATAATAGCTACAAATTCACAGTAACAGTGGGTAAATACTAACTATATACTGCACAGGCAGTACACATACATACCAGCTTATGTCTACCTCGGCTGATGCTCACAGATAAACTGACAGTGTGAAATAGAGGCAGCCTCAGGAAGTGAGTGACGCGTACTGGACAGGTCGATCTGGGCTACTGAGTGACTTGTCCTGAAGCATACTTGTCAAAATACTTTTGGGTTTCCACACACTTAGCTATATATTTCTTCTTTTCTAATACTGTATATTAGTTTTTGATGTTTATTGTTATTTGGTTTAACTTTATTACTTACTTATAATAGGTTTACTTTACAACTTTATATACTAAGACAAAGTTAACAATAATCCTCATACCGGGTACCGCATTGTTTTCTTGATTTTCAGAATTCATAACTTTTTTTCTGTCACCCCTCCATTACCCCCCAAAAATGGTTAAATTACCCCCAGGGGGTAATTTACCCCCAGTTTAGGAACCACTGCCTTACGGGATGAAGGGAACAACAGCAGTTGTTCCCTTCATCCCAAACTCTCACGCTAAAGACCATTTTGAAAGAATATATGGTATAAAAATATTACGTTGACAGACTCGGCTCAAAAAGGTAACCAGAATAAAAAAGAAAACAGCAAACCTGTGTGCGTTCGCTCGTGCCTGTTTGTCTGAGAGGGAGAGACCAAGTAAGCAAAGCATGCATGCATATGCGGTAAAATAAGCGGGCAATATTTTCCCAAATGTCCTTGGCGATAACTAGGGTGTTGCAGGGAGGGAGGGAATGAGGAAGTAGAAGATGGGAGGGAGGGAATGGGGAAGGGGAAGACGGAAGGGAGGGAATGAGGAAGGGGAAGACGGGAGGGAGGGAATGAGGAAGTGGAAGACGGAAGGGAGGGAATGAGGATGTGGAAGACGGAAGGTAGGGAATGAGGAAGGGGAAGACGGAAGGGTGGGAATGAGGAAGGGGAAGACGGGAGGGAGGGAATGAGACGGGAGGATTTCTAATAGAGGAGAGACTGCAGCAGAATTATGACCAATGATTTTTAATACTAAGGAGATATCATTTTGTGAGATTATTTCATACTGTATTGTGTACATCAACTACATGAAGCAATTATGACCAATGAAATGACAAATATTTATTTTTAGTGATGTAAGAATGCTCAGAGTCGCCTTGACCCGTTGTGACCTCTGTAACCCTGTTTTTTCTTGTCTTGTGCTGCCGCTCACGGGCTGAGCTGCGGCTGCACAATAAACTAACCATTCAGGAAGTAGATGAAGTGTTGGGTTGGAGGGAGAGGGAAGTGAAGGTGGGTCTCTGAACACGTTGTAACATATTTACTATCCCCACGAGGGTAATACTTCGTTTACGACACCTGAAGGAGAGAGAGAGCCGTACACACACACACACACACACACACACACACACACACCACACACACACACACACACACACACACACACACACAAACCCCACACACACACATACACACACACAGAAAGTGCAAAGGTTTGCAACAAGACTAGTCCCAGAGCTACGGGGATTGTCCTACGAAGAAAGGTTGAGGGAAATTGGCCTGACGACACTGGAGGCCAGGAGGGTCAGGGGAGACATGATAACGACATACAAAATACTGCGCGGAATAGACAAGGTGGACAAAGACAGGATGTTCCAGAGATGGGACACAGACACAAGAGGTCACAATTGGAAGTTGAAGACTCAGATGAATCAAAGGGATGTTAGGAAGTATTTCTTTAGTCATAGAGTAGTCAAGCCGTGGAATAGCCTAGAAAGTGAAATAGTGGAGGCGGGAACCATACATAGTTTTAAGGCGAGGTATGATAAAGCTCATGGAGCAGGGAGAGAGAGGACCTAGTAGCAATCAGTGAAGAGGCGGGGCCAGGAGCTATGACTCGACCCCTGCAACCACAAATAGGTGAGTATAAATAGGTGAGTACACACACACACACACACACACACACACCTAGCCAAGCATGTAAAGAAACTAGAGAAAGTGCAAAGGTTTGCAACAAGACTAGTCCCAGAGTTAAGAGGTATGTCCTATGAGGAGAGGTTAAGGGAAATCAACCTGACGACACTGGATGACAGGAGAGATAGGGGGGATATGATAACGACTTACAAAATACTGAGAGGAATTGACAAGGTGGACAAAGACAGGATGTTCCAGAGACTGGACACAGCAACACGGGGACACAGTTGGAAGCTAAAGACACAGATGAATCAAAGGGATGTTAGGAAGTATTTCTTCAGCCACAGAGTAGTCAGGAAGTGGAATAGTTTGGGAAGGCGATGTAGTGGAGCAGGATCCATACATAGCTTTAAGCAGAGGTACGATAAAGCTCATGGTTCAGGGAGAGTGACCTAGTAGCGACCATGAAGAGGCGGGCCAGGAGCTTGGACTCGACACCCTGCAACCTCAACTAGGTGAGTACAACTAGGTGAGCACACACACACACACACACACACACACACACACACACACACACACACACACACACACACACACACACACACACACACACACCCACACACACCCACACACACCTACACACACACCTACACACACACACCTACACACACACCTAACACACACACCTACACACACACCTACACACACACACACACACCTACACACACACACACACACACACACACACACACACACACACACCTACACACACCTACACACACCTACACACACCTACACACACCTACACACACTACACACACCTACACACACCTACACACACCTACACACACCTACACACACACACACACACACACACACACACACACACACACACACACACACACACACACACAACAGGCCTAGTGTCTAATCGACATGTGCCTAGGACAAAATGGTAACTAACACACACACTACACACACACACTACACGCACACACACTACACACACACACACACACACACCTACACACACACCTACACACACACTACACACACACACACACACACACACACACACACACACACTACACACACCACACACACACTACACACACACACACACACTACACGCACACAAACACACACACACACTACACACGCACACACTACACGCACACACACTACACGCACACACTACACACACACACTACACACACACACTACACACACACACTACACACACACACACACACACACACACACACACACACACACACACACACACACACACACCACACACACACACACACACACACACACACTACACACACACACTATACCACACACACACTATACACACACACACTACGCACACACACTACGCACACACACTACGCGCACACACTACGCACACACTACGCACACACTACGCACACACTACGCACACACTACGCACACACTACGCACACACATACTACGCACACACACGCTACGTGCACACACTATGCACACACATACTACGCACACACACGCTACGCGCACACACTACGCACACACACTACGCACACACACTACGCACACACACACTACGCACACACACTACGCACACACACTACGCACACACACTACGCACACACACTACGCACACACACTATGCACACACACTATGCACACACACTACGCACACACTACGCACACACACTACACACACACACTACACACACACACTACACACACACACTCACAACACTACACACACACACACCCCACACACACTACACACACACACTACACACACACACTACACACACAAACTACACACACTACACACACACACACAGTGAAGAGGCGGGGCCAGGAGCTAGGACTCGACCCCTGCAACCACAAATAGGTGAGTACAAATAGGTGAGTACACACACACACACAACAGGCCTAGTGTCTAATCGACATGTGCCTAGGACAAAATGGTAACTAACACACACACTACACACACTACACACACACACACACACACTACACGCACACACACTACACACACACACACACACACACACTACACACACACACACACACACTACAACACACAAACAAACACACACAACACACACACACACACACACACACACTACACACTACACGCACAAACACTACACGCACACACACTACACACACACACTACACACACGCACAAACACTACACGCACACACACTACACACACACACTACACACACACACAAAACACACACTACACACACACACACTATACACACACACACTATACACACACACACTATACACACACACACACACACACACACAACACACACACACACACACACACACACAACACACACACACACACACACTACGCACACACACTACGCACACACTACGCACACACACTACGCACACACACTACGCGCACACACTACGCGCACACACTACGCACACACTACGCACACACTACGCACACACTACGACACACTACGCACACACTACGCACACACTACGCACACACGCTACGCACACACTACGCACACACTACGCACACACACTACGCACACACACTACGCACACACACACTACGCACACACACTACGCACACACACTACGCACACACACTACGCACA